TATGCTATAAAGACATTTTCTAGTTATTTTGTTTAGAAAATGCTTATATAAGTGGTTTGCACTAAAACTGATGTAAAATATAAGGAATAAAATGTCTTTATTGATGTTAAATGTTATTCTGATATTGGTAGAATGCAGAATTATGTGCACTTTTGTATTATGTTAAAAGTGATTTAACTCATGGGCCACAGACCTGTATTTTCTCCATCTTTTAAAATGAGCAATTGAAAAAACTGGCTACTGTTCAATGAAAGAATCTTTCACTCCCGGTTAATAGATTTGTGTAGGTGTTTAAGCTGCCAGTAAGATTTATTTAAGTAATGTTAATATTCAAGACCAGTTCTTTTGATCTTTTTTTTATAGAATTTTTACATGGAAATGATAGAAAAGAAAATCTAATCCATGAATTCTCTCGATATTTAGGGTTTTGTTTTAAGTGAACAGGTGCAATGGTATCTATGTTTAGAGTCAGTATTTTATTTTACTGTATATAGACTTGAAAGGGATCTAAATAAAATGTTTCATTGACATAAAAAATAGCTTGATTATGGATCAACTTGATCATAAAAAAAGTACATTATTTTTCAAATTCCATGTTGGGGATATCTCTTGTTCCTCAAGTTTAGCTTATCATCTGGCTTTAAATTATAAACATAAGAGGTGCATTTAATTGTTTCTGTTAGTTTAAAAAGTAGTTATTTAGTGTACTCTCCTAGTGAAATTATCAACTGGAAATTAGGAGAGTTAAAGAAACCCTTTAGAACACTGGCTTTTAGCGTGTTTCTTAGGCACAGGAAAAAATAAATCAGTAGTTTCTTTTTTACTTGTATGTAATTCTCAGCAATCAGATAAACAAGATCGATTGCTTGGTACATGGATCATAGGACATATGAACATAAATCATTTTCTTCCTCTTCTTTGTCTAGGGTGCTATACTTAACCATATGCTAAGTAAGCATTTTCAAAACATACAGAAATACATTTATTTGCTCACTGCATTTTGTTAAGTCAATGTGTAAAAGACCATATATACAGCTGCTTTATTATTTACATCTGTATCCATTATTAATCTGATGCCTAGAAAATTGTATTTAATAAGAATCTAATTAAACAATCAGGTTTCCTTTTTTCTTATAAATGGGATTCATTTAATCTCATTTAAAATTGTAATTTTAGAGTGCCCTATAGTGTTAATGTGAACAGTATTTATTAGATGTTTAAAGGATACTTCTTTAAGCATCCAGTTTGCATTTTATTAAAAATTTCATAGTGTTTCTTTACAGGTTAGTTTTATATTCTCTTTTCATATTTTAAGATATGTCCTTCCTATTTAATATATGTGTTATCGGTATGTTATAATAGTCTGTTTTTATTACATAGACATTTGCATTGTTTAATAAAGTACATTGTGTTATATCACTAAGCATTTGTGGGTCAATGACTGCTTTTGCAAAAGATTTCAGAAACATTTTATTCACTATTTATTTTTATAAATTAAGTATGTACTATACATGTGCTATGATAATGTGTTTCCAAGTATATGTAAGAAATAGAAGTAGGAACCAACAATAATAATTTGATCAATAACTACTTCAACTATTTCGCTTTTAGGTAGCAGAATGATTGCAGACCCTTATGAGTTTCTGATTTTTGAGTTTTTAAAAATGATATAAATTTGTAACATAGCCAGAATTTGTTCTGACAAAATCTGCTAAAGTTTACAAAGTGGTGTGTGTGTGTGCATGAAATAAGTAATCCACTATTTTCAACAATTTACATTGTCCTTTGATTTCTAGGATTCTTGGTGGTATCTCTTACATTTGTCTGTGGCATATTCTTGCAAATTCTGCTCAAGTTCACTGTGTCATTCAGGATATTTTTGTTACGAGCACATAAAGATTTCTTTAATATTCCAATGTAGAAAGGATGAGATTTTTTCCTCATGGAAATAATTTTAGTCATTTCTAGAAAGTGTTTACATTTGTGTATTTGTTTATTAACAGCTAATGATTTCAAGATTGAGTTATTTCTTTTTATTCTTGTTTTTTGTCTCCTGGATTTTGGCAGTTCCTAAGTGTATTAACTACTCTTTTTTTCTTTTTTAGTCTTAGAATTACAATTTTTTATTTACTGGTGAGTGAGCTATAACTTGAGAGAACTCACATATCACCCTACATTCTGACAAAATTCTTCCTTTCCTCTGGGACTGATCACAAATACATCAAAGTTCTGTATGTAGACTAAGTGATTCTAAAGTGTGTCACTATTGAAGGAATTAGTAAGGATTAGGTCATTTCCAAATGGCATATACTTCAGCATTATATTCTAACAAATCTAGCATATAAACCTTTGTTTTCCCTTTTGCATTTATTCTTGAGCTGAAAGATAATTTAATTTTATAATTAACTGAACTCATCTACAAATTGGAACTATATCAATGTAGCAAACTTGTTCTTAGTTTATTAGCTGGAAATTCATATATATTCCAACAAGAATCACCTGCATACATGAAGGTAAAAAATAACGAATTAAGATTCACCTTTATATTCATCTGGCGTTTGACTTGAAATATATACTGGAAAGCTTAATTTGCAAGTTATTATGACACATTTATAAAGTAAATATGCAGTAATTATGTTGTGATTTGATATGAACTAGGAAGGCATTACCATACCTCTTCACCTATCAAGGGCCCAGATTATTGGCATTCTAAACTGTGAGGAACATTGCCCGAAAACCTAACATTAAGCAAAAAAGACTATAGTTATCAAAAACTGAGTCCATGTACTTAACTCAGTAGAAATTCTCATTTTCATGTCTTTTTCTGTCAATTTGTCTTAATAAGTTTAATGATCTGGTTTCTGAATCCATAACAAATTATTGAGGGGGAAATGCTGCTTAGACAAATACACTAACAGTATCAGAAAGCAGTAGCTGATACTTTTCAAGCGAGGACTCTGAAAACGTGTGGAAGTGTTGAGTGCAAGAATTCAAACACAGCAGCAGATTGATGGTACTCACTCCAAACACAAAAGGCTGGCACACCGTTAGACACATAGCAACATCTGTTACACTCATGGTCCTGAGATGACAAAGATAGTGTAAATTACACTTCATGCATTTTCTTGATGAAGTAAAGAATCATTTTTTCAAATTTTCCTTTCAAAGATGATTGAAATACTAGTTTTAATGCCCTCAGCTATCTCGAAATCTCAACATTCTTATAAACTCAGAAATGTTTATACTATGAAGGGTCCCATAACCATCCATATATTTCGTGTAACTGAGCTTTTACTATTGAAAGGTAAATAAGTTGAGAAGAAAGAACATAAAATTGTGCGGGCTTGCCATTTAGTCTATATTACATTTGATGTTAGCTACATATTATCTATTATTTCTTAATGTCAGAACACAGATATTTAAATATTTTAACTGCTTTTAAACAGAATTTTGGATAGTTCGTTTATAATACTGGCATCGTAAATAAAGTACTGTTATTCTTACTTGGTTTTATTTTTCCATGGCTAGAATTATCACAGTAAACACGATTTTTCCCCAACTCCATATCTTTAGTCTAAAAGGATTTTGGAAAAGTATATACATTTATTTGGTTCATAAGGAGAAAGTTGTAGAGGAAGAAATGCATAAATATATGATATATAACTATTGTAAGCTTCTTTATACCTGAATAACTTAGCTAAGTTGCTAACTTTTCTGAAAACTCTTGATTCCTAAAATGAGTCTTTGGGAGATTGGGTTTTGGAGCATTATATGAAATTTGCAGTATAAATGTATATTTATAGTCCCATTTATTGTGATGTTTTTAAAAAATCAACAGTTTTGTGTGTGGTTTATAACAATAGCATTTCCCCCTTTTTTTTCTAATAAAGATTATTGAATAGTAATTAGCATATATTCAAGTATTGTGGGTCCTATAATTTTCCCCTTGGTTTCTTAGTTGTGGGTTTCTCAACTTTTAAAGTTTTAAATCAGTAAGAGAAACTATATATAAAGAGAATCTGACAGATTGGTTTGGAGAAAGTATCTTTTTTAACTTAAAAAGAGAGCGCAAAGAAAAGGAGGAATGTAATTCTTTCTATAAGATGTATACATCTTTGTTATTTGTTGTTAAATTTTGGTCATGTTATTCCAACTGATAAAATTCTTTTTATAAGACACTGAAATAATACAGATCTTTCTTCATTGTCAGCAGGATGACATTGTCTGAAACGAAGAATGGGTATGATAGTTTTCTTAGATTTTGTACATCAGAGGTGGCAAAGACACTATCAAAACATTTATTAATAAGATTTAAAATGTACTAGGAGGTCCTTTGAAAAACCAACTACACTGAGAAAAAGTGACAAGTAAATTTTGAGAAAATTTATATTTGAGAAAATTACATTTAGTTCTCAGAATGGTTTTTATTTGCTATAGATTGTGATAGCATGCTATAAACTTTGGAAAGTTTATAATCTACAGGAACTTGGAGAAAGAGTGGTGAGATATAAATTGTATAGAATTGATTACAGAGTACTTTATGTAGCCTGTAGAATTCGAGTTCTAAAAATTTTTAGAACAAACACAATGTAGTGAATTGAATTCATAACATTGAATTGCATGTATCATATCATTAAATGTTGTTAAATTATCTAATGGGCAAATGACTAATTCTTGAAGTTCAAAATCTAAACTGTTGGGTCAGTTTTGAACACATGGCTATACACGTACATTCATTCATATGCTCTTAACATTTCTTCTAACAAAATGTTCTGAATGATATTTTGTTTGCTTGTTAAATATGTTATATTTTGTTTTTCCTACCATTAGTTCAGGTTTAGATTGTTTTTGTTATAAACATTAATTTAATAATCTTATGAGCTAAAGGTAGAATAAACAGTGTTAAAGTTGAAATGTGTCATAGTTTGCTATTTGTCTTTGCAAAAAAAATGGTTTTGAAAATATTATTCAGATATACCATAAATCTGTTTACCATGCAGGTGTGATGAATGCAGACTGTGCTACCATTTTGGCTGTCTGGATCCTCCTTTGAAAAAGTCTCCTAAACAAACAGGCTATGGGTGGATATGTCAGGAATGCGATTCTTCATCTTCTAAGGTAAGGGGGGAAATCCTATAAGAAAAAGTGTCGTTTTTCCTTCATTTTGATAGCTTTTCTATATCAACTTCCTAACTTTAAAGAGACTTGGAATATGTAATTTATGGGCAAGAACCTTGAAATTATGTAAGTATCCTATTCCTCATCAAATTTTCATTTTCTGTGTTTTTCCCCCCCCAATGGGTTTATTATCATTTATTTTGATGTTCAAATTGTCCCAAATTTGGTTAATGGAAGCCATTTGGGGCTGATGTCTGCCACTTCAGCTTAGCATCTGTGTCCTTTTGACATTATCAGCAGTCTTTGAGTATTTTCTTACTAAAAATGTTCCAGGCTCAACTTGCACTTCCCATTCCCCTATTCCTGGAACCAGCTATTTCTCCAAGGAGCTCTAGCTCCTGTTAGTAGAGAATGGTATTTAGAAACCAAGATACGGGTACTAGATGTGCTCATTGTTACTGGGATGTTGCTCCTACTAGGTCTTCTCAGTAGACAATGCCAAGGACTAGATGTACCTACAGGCATACCTTGTTTTTTGCACTTCACAGGTACTGTGTTTTTTACAAATTAAAGATTTGCAGCCCTATGTTGAGCAAGTCTATTGGCACCATTTTCCCAATAGCATTTGCTCACTTTGGGTCTCTGTGTCACATTTTGGTAAGATATGTATATACATTGTATTTTTAGATATAATGCTATTGCATGCTTAATAGAGTATAGTGTGAACATAACTTTTATATGGACCGGGAAACCAAAACATTTGTGTGACTCACTTTATTGTGATATTCTCTTTATTGTGGTGGTGTGGAACCAAACCTGCAGTACCTCCAAGGTATGCCTGTGTGCACATTCCGACACACCTACATTTACACCTATACTTCTGTGTCTTTTTAGGTATTGGAAACCATTCTAGTTTTCCCCCCATCCATATTTGTAACCCCCTCACAGAAAACTGGTTCCCAATATCCTTAATATATATTTTTACATGATTAATCCTGATGCTGATCTCTTTCACCCTTTACCTCCATCCACATGGATACCTACCTTTACTTACCAAAACCTAATGGCTTTTAGACTAAATTGTTCAGAAAGGAGAGAGAGAGGGAGCGAGGGTAGATATATTTTTTACAAGCTCCTCATTATTTTAATCAGGAATAAGAACCACTGTTTTATGTATTTTGTGAATTCTTCAGTTATTAACATTTTTAAGGTAAAAATGAACTTTTTAAGAATTTTAAAACAAATACACACAATGCATATAACCTAAATCAAACTTTAACTGACATTTAAAAATTATGATGTATACTTACATATATCAAGATATAAGGTAGACTTAATATTGTATTTTTTAAAATATAGGGCCCAGTTCACTATTCAGTCTTTTTCTAATGTATACTCGATATAGATCTCAACAACTTTTGTGGCTGAAACACCCAAAACGAAAACAACTTCTTTTGATGTAGGTAATGAACATGTATAAATATTTATTTTATAAAGTGCTTCATCCAAGTCATCTATGTTCACAAGTGCCACTGAGAATTTAAATTTACATCATATATTTTACAGTGACTGTGCCAGTTATGCTTTAACTTTTCATCCTTGTTTAAGCTCTGTTTTGTGAAAAGCCTTAGAGTAAACATGACAGGTCATTATCTGACTAGTACAAGATGAGCTGTCTCGGCTTGGAGACCTGCATGTGGTTTGCTCGTATTTGATCTTTCTAGTATATAATTTTTTAAGTCATAAATATGCATAGAAACCTCATCCAAATCCCTATGGAAGATTTTGTGGAACTACAAATGCCACCTGAGACAAATGGTACTTTTTGATAATCTTTCTATTAGAAATCCCTGAGTAAGGGAATTATTTTTCCCCCCACTTTTGTTTTATTTTTAAATTTACAGCATTGAGCAACTGGAATCCTATAACCGATATACTTATGTCGAAACAACATAGATGTTTATTTTCAAGTAAAATAGTCATTGAGAATTTTGCCTCTTCAAGAAGGGAACAGAACAATCTCTCCAAGGAGTATCTTGCTATAATACATTAAGCAAGCACACTTAATTGAAGCTAGAAATAGTAGAAATTGAGTGTCTGAATTTTATATATTATGAAGATTTGTGAAAAATATAAAATTAAAATGAGTTATCCTTTAAGGTCCTTTGAAATTTGAGCACATAACTGACTCATAAAAAAGGACTTTGTGATATTTTAACTATTCATTTCGCCTCCTGTTTTTTTTTCTGACATTAGGTTAAATTTTAAATCTTTGAATTTATCAGGGTTGACAGAGAAGTCATTTTTAGGTAAAATTTATACCACTTAATGGTCTTAATTCAGCATTCTTTTAGGATTTGTGAGACAATGCCCTTTATTAGCTTCACTGAGTGTTTATTTGCCTTTTCACTGATACAGGCATGTAAAAATCTGGAGGAAAGCTGTATGCAGTGCCCTCCATTAAAATCCCATCGAACAAATCTGTTGTGGTTTGTAGACTTACTAAAAGTCTGAGGATTAAAACTTTGGGGCGGGATATCCTTGATGATTGCTATAGTTAAATATTTAGACTTTAGATTTTCTCTTTGATAGTTTAGGGGATAAAGCCCATAAACTTCCAATTGATCTTTGACCTTCTCCTAGACAAAGTTCAAGGTATGCCCTGCTACTCTGGCATTTTCCTTGGCTCGCAAAATTGTATGTCTTTTAAGCCCTTAGTTTCTAACAGAGTGCTATATGTCAGACTAGTAACAGTGATTTGTGAATTCAGTAAGTAGTAACAGCCATTAACAATTCCACTGTGCTTTTTTTTTTTAGAGTCTGTTATTTGTTTAAATTGAACATTTATATACTGAACTGAACTTACTTTTTATTTGTCATAACAGTCTGCTCAAAGAGGTTGCTTACTTCATTGTCCTAGACATGTTTTGAAACCTGTCCCTAGGTAATACTTTTATCAAGTAACAATTTTCAGCAAAACAAAGATTGTTTATGGTTATTTTTTATAATAGAATTGGAATTTATGCTGATCTGTTTAGTTCTGTAACCTAAGGTAGTTTTCACGGTGCCTGTGTAATATACATTAAGCATATTGGTTTACTTCAATAAATTATGGTCAGGTGTTCCTCTAGAACCTTTTCAAATATATGATTTGTTTCCTCTAGGTAAAATGTATCAGTGTTTATGACATACATTTTTATATACTTCAGCATTATATTCACAGAGAAAGAGAATGATTGGGAACCTCTAAAATGAGACAAATGTTTTCTATGTTAATAACATACAAAATTGAAAAACTAAATTACTTTTTAAGTTACAGTTACTATAAACTAGGAAAACGAAGCCATTTTCTAATTTAGATGGCATGTGGCCTGGTGCGTTTCCATAGCATGCTGTGGAAAGCCATATGTGATGAGAAACTAAATCACAGCTGAGATAATTAATCAAAGTACGCTAGGGCACCATACATAGGGTTGTCTTTCAGAACTCACCAACCTTATCATTCTTTAGAATTTGTAAATTCTTCTGTTTTTTTTTATATATATATATATTCCCCCC